TCTGAATGAGATCCTTGCTAGGTAGAGTAATCTTGGTTGCAGGTTTTCCTCCTTCACCACTTTAAATATGTCCTGCCACTCCCTTCTGACTTGCAGAGTTTCTGCTGAAAGACCAGCCGTTAACCTTATGGGGATTCCCTTGTGTGTTATTTGTTGTTTTTCCATTGCTGCTTTTAATATGCTTTCTTTGTATTTAATTTTTGACAGTTTGACTAATATGTGTCTTGGCATATTTCTCCTTGGATTTATCCTGTATGGGACTCTCTGTGCTTCCTGGACTTGATTAACTATTTCCTTTCCTATATTAGGGAAGTTTTCAACTATAATATCTTCAAATATTTTCTCAGTCCCTTTCTTTTTCTCTTCTTCTGGAACCCCTATAATTCGAATGTTGGTGCGTTTAATGTTGTCCCAGAGGTCTCTGAGACTGTCGTCAGTTCTTTTCATTCTTTTTTCTTTATTCTGCTCTGCAGTAGTTATTTCTACTATTTTATCTTCCAGGTCACTTATCCGTTCTTCTGCCTCAGTTATTCTATTGATCCCATCTAGAGAATTTTTTATTTCATTTATTGTGTTGTTCATCTCTGTTTGTTTGCTCTTTAGTTCTTTTAGGTCATTGTTACGTTTTTCTAGGTCATTGTCACGTTTCTTACATTTTGTCTATTCTATTTCCAAGATTTTGGATCATCTTTACTATCATTATTCTGAATTCTTTTTCAGGTAGACTGCCTATTTCCTCTTCATTTGTTAGGTCTGGTGGGTTTTTATCTTTCTCCTTCATCTGTGGTGTGTTTTTCTATCTTCTCATTTTGCTTATCTTACTGTGTTTGGAGTCCTCTTTTTGCAGGCTGCATGTTCGTAGTTCCCGTTGTTTTTCGTGTCTGTCCCCAGTGGCTAAGGTTGGTTCAGTGGGTTGTGTAGGCTTCCTGGTGGAGGGGACTAGTGCCTGTGTTCTGGTGGATGAAGCTGGATCTTGTCTCTCTGGTGGGCAGGTCACGTCTGGTGGTGTGTTTTGGGGTGTCTGTGGACTTATTATGATTTTAGGCAGCCTCTCTGCTAATGGGTGGCTTGTATTCCCGTTTTGCTAGTTGTTTGGCATAGGGTGTCCAGCACTGTAGTTTGCTGGTTGTTGAGTGAAGCTGGGTGCTGGCGTTGAGATGGAGATCTCTGGGAGATTTTCGCCGTTTGGTATTATGTGGAGCTGGGAGGTCTCTTGTGGACCAGTGTCCTGAAGTTGGCTCTCCCACCTCAGAGGCACAGCACTGACTCCTGGCTGCAGCACCAAGAGCCTTTCATCCACACGGCTCAGAATAAAAGGGAGAAAAAGTAGAGAGAAAGAATTAGTAGAAGTAGGAAGAAAGAAAAAAAGACAGAAAGGAAGGAAGGAAGGAAGGAACAAAGAAAGAAAGAAGAAAAGAAGGAAAGAAGGAAAGAAAGAAAGGAGGGAGGGAGTGAGGGAGCGATGGTGGGAGGAAGGAAGGAAGGAGGGTAGGAAGGAAAAAAGAAAAAGGAAGATAAAGTAAAATAAAATAAAGTAAAATATAATAAAGTTATTAAATCAAAAAATAACTAAGAAAAAAATTTTAAAAAAAAAAAGGATGGATAGAACCTTAGGACAAATGGTGGAAGCAAAGCTATACAGAGAAAATCTCATACAGAAGCATACACATACACACTCACAAAAAGATGAAAAGGGGAAAAAAATCATAAATCTTGCTCTCAAAGTCCACCTTCTCAATTTGGGATGATTCGTCATCTATTCATGTATTCCACAGATGCAGGGTACATCAAGTTGATTGTGGAGCTTTAATCCATTACTTCTGAGGCTGCTGGGAGAGAGTTCCCTTCCTTTTCTTTGTTCTCACAGCTCCCAGGCTCAGTTTTGGATTTGGCCCCGCCTCTGCGTGTAGGTCGCCGGAGGTCGTCTGTTTTCGCTCATATAGGACGGGGTTAAAGGAGCCGCTGACTCGGGGGCTCTGGCTCACTCAGGCCGGCGGGAGGGAGGGGCACGGAGTGTGGGGCGAGCCTGTGGTGGCAGAGGCCGGCATGACGTTGCACCAGCCTGAGGTGCGCCGCGCGTTCTCCTGGGGAAATTGTCCCTGGATCCCGGGACCCTGGCAGTGGCGGGCTGCACAGGCTACCCAGAGGGAAGGTGAGGAGAGTGACCTGTGCTTGCACACAGGCTTCTTTGTGGCGGCAGCAGCAGCCTTAGCTTCTCCTGCCCGTCTCTGGGGTCCACGCTTTTAGCCGCGGCTCGCGCCCGTCTTTGCAGCTCCTTTAAGCGGTGCTCTTAATCCCCTCTCCTCGTGCACCAGGAAACAAAGAGGCAAGAAAAAGTCTCTTGCCTCTTCAGCAGCTCCAGACCTTTTCCCGGACTCCCTCCTGGCTAGCCGTGGTGGACTAACCCCTTCAGGCTGTGTTCACGCCGCCAGTCCTCTCCCTGTGACCCGACCGACCGAAGCTCGAGCCTCAGCTCCCAGCCCCCACCCACCCTGGAGGGTGAGCAGACAAGCCTCTCGGGCTGGTGAGTGCCGGTCGGCACCAATCCTCTGTGCGGGAATCTCCCCGCTTTGCCCTCCGCACCCCTGTTGCTGCGCTCTCCGTGGCCCCGAAGCTCCCCCACTCCGCCACCCACAGTCTCCGCCCGCGAAGGGGCTTCCTAGTGTGTGGAAAACTTTCCTCCTTCACAGCTCCCTCCCACTGGTGCAGGTACCATCCCTATTCTTTTGTCTCTGTTTTTTCTTTTGCCCTACCCAGGTACGTGGGGAGTTTCTTGCCTTTTGGGAGGTCTGAGGTCTTCTGCCAGCGTTCAGTAGGTGTTCTGTAGGAGTTGTTCCACGTGTAGATGTATTTCTGGTGTATCTGTGGGGAGGAAGGTGATCTCCGCATCTTACTCTTCCGCCGTCTTCCCCTCATCCTGCTTTTTATTTCTAATGGACATGTTTACACATAATTTAGGAAGCAAAGTTTTGGCTTATTTCCTTTCTAGTTTTTTTTCATTTAGAAAAACATCTTAACATCTAATTTGATCCTCTACACTTAAACTTACATAGCATCGAGCTACTGGCCAGAACTGCTAGCTAATAAACCAACTGAAGATATTTTAATTTTTATTTCTTTCACCTTTCCAAAGATTTATATAACTTAAAGCACATAAATAGTACTTTACAGTTTGTAAGCACTTTTATATGCATTATCACTTTTGATCTTCCCAGTTTCCTTATGGGGAAGGAACATTATAGAATTACAAAAGGTTTCATTATTGTATTCACTTATAGATGAATAAATTGGGGATCAAGCATCATGCTTTTAAGTAAATGCAGGGAATTGACCATAGAAAAATTAAATATGAAATCTCAAGCTTTATTGAATTTACTGCATTGCACTGAGAAGTCTCTGACCGTCCTTCCCTCAATAACCCCTCTAGTCAACCTTGTCTCCTTACTTCCCTACGTCCATGTCATTCTCTTTACTGTTTCTGACCGTTGAAACTTCGTCTTTACTTCCCTCACTCCATATACTCCTGTCTGGAATGTTGCTGGTTTTCTTGAATATCTGAATCCTAACCATCATTCAAGGTCCAGCAAAAGTTTCCACCTCCTCCAGGAAGTCTTGCAGCTCCCATTGTTCTTACTTAAATAATACAACATTTGCATGGATTGGTTCTTAGGTTCCTAAGTGTTTCAATGTTTCATCTAAATTCTCCTTCTAGACTATAAGCTACAAAGAACAAAGACCAGCTCTTATACTTCTTTGAAATCCACAGCACTCTAGCACTGGATATATATGTAGTAAATTCATGATAAATATTTGGCTGTTTTTTAATCTATCCATTGGAGCCATTGCTGAACTGTAGATAATCTTACTGTATTTGTATTCAAACCATGTGACATGTAATTTAACCTGTGTGAACTCAACTATAATAAGTAATTATAGTTAATTATAATTAACTATAATTATAGTGTGGTCTTTTCAATATGTTCATATACCAGTTGACCCTAGCATTGATTTCTAATGGCAGTGAAGCCCAGACATATGCCTGTGCAATCAAATCAACTACATATGCCTGATGGATTCCGTGAAAAGAGCAGGAATTTGGCCCATATATCAGTATTGAGAACAGGAACAGGAAATGTTATGGAGTGATTGCTTTTCTATAGAATTGCATTAGCATCACCCATTCTGCCTGTCATAATTTCTCAGCAGATCAGGGATATCTATCAATGGAAGTTCCTGTGGTATAGTATATGAAAATGCATTTGATTATTCATTACAAATGATGCTGATCAGACATATTGTCATTACAAGTTTAATTTTTAAGGAAGAGATCTCTGTGTAAAAATGGCACACTTGAGAGTCATCATCTTAAAAAACAAAAAGATGGTACTTTGTGACAATTCAATTTTTCTGGAATATAAGTATTCTGTTTAAACAACTAACTACTTTTGTTCATATTTTAAGGTGAATTTGGAGAAGTCTGTAGTGGGCGTTTGAAAACACCAGGGAAAAGAGAGATCCCAGTTGCCATCAAAACTTTGAAAGGTGGCCACATGGATCGGCAAAGAAGAGATTTTTTAAGAGAAGCAAGTATCATGGGTCAGTTTGACCACCCAAATATCATTCGATTAGAAGGTGTTGTCACAAAAAGTAAGTACTGATTTTCTTCTTTTATATATCTGTCTCAATTCCTTAAATTAAAAAAAAGGCTTAATAGCAATATCACAGACATTTAGGGGATAACTTAGTTCAGTTATCATCTTCAGATATCGTCCATTGGAGTCTTGATATTAGCCTATGACATTATCAGAGTTTGCATTGGTCACCAAACAGCTTTGAAATGTTTTTTTTATTACCTGTAAATCATTTTCTAATTTAACTTGAAATAATAAATCAAGGTAAAGGGTTATATATTTTTTCCTAATTTCTGTAAGCAATTCATTTCTTCTGAACCTGCCTAAATTTCAATATTAATAGGAGAAACAGTTAAAATATTTGGGGTCATTAAGGTAAAATAGTTCTGTTTGTAAATAAATGTCATATACAAATATAGAATGCTTTATCTAAAGAAAACTTTTAAATAAAAAGTTCTTTATGGAACCTACCTACATAAATGCCATTAGAACTGTATTATTTTAATTTATATAAAATGAAGAAAAGGATTACAATTTCTGAAATAAAAATCCAGTTTTTACAGAAATAGTGGGATCAAAACCATTCCTTTGGGAAAAAAGTTTCTCAGAAATCCAAAACTAATCATATCATCTAAGAAATAGATTGCAATATATTCACTTTTATTTGAATAATGATAAGGCATAACTTAATATTTCTCCTTATTTTATTCACTAATGAGTTATAACATAAAACTCAATATAATATGGCATTATAAACTCATAAAAATAGTCTCTTTGAGAGGCATTTTTCTTTTGTAAAACTGAAATTTCTTTTAAAACCATTTAGATGAAATTGAAATTTCATGTTATATTTGGAAGAAGGAACGTGTAAAAGCTTAGCAAAAACATTTAACTGACTCTGTGTCTGAAACTCCAAAGTCCTTCTCACAGTGCATTGGCCAACATGCTATCCAAGGAGAGCAGAAAATTACTGATAGCCATGATAGTTTGGAGGATGCAAAAGTTTGCTTTTGATTTCAGCTGTTGCCATGGGCTGTTACTTTAGTGGCCTTAGTAGAACCCTCCAGAGGGTATTCATGCCCTTGTGTTGTTCTCTCCCACATTGATTGTGGACTTGTCCATGTGACTAGCCTTGGCCTATGGGACATTAACAAGTGTGATACAAGTTGAAGCATCTTACATATTTGTACACTGGACCTTATCCTCTTGGAACACTCTGTCATGTAACTTAGTCTCCAATATTGAGCAAAGCCAGTACATATGGTGAGACCACACGCAGAACTGCAAAGAGGAGAACTGAGGCATTCTAGTCAACGACAGCTCTACAAGAGCTCCCGGCAGATAGTCAGCACTGAGTGCCAGCTTGGTAAAGAACCATCTCAGACGTTACAGCCCCTCCTTCTACTGCCAGATGGCTGCAGTGGCAGGTGATATTTTGTGGAGCAAAGTATCCAGCCAGCTCAGTCCAATCAACCTGTAAAATCATGAGAGATAATAAAATGGTTGTTGTTTTAAGCCGCTCCATTTTGGATAGTTTATTACACAGCAATAGATAACCAAACAGATGGACACCAGTTAGAATTCCACTCCTACCACTGAAGTCTTGTGAAGTTTTAGGTAGATGATTTAACATCTCTATTGTTTACTTCCACACTGTAAAATGGGGCCAAAATAAGTCCTACCCAATAGGAATGCTGTAAGGATTAATTTTATAAATGTATAAAGCATTTAGCATAGCATGTGACTCATAGTAAGCCGCATTAAATGGTAGCTATTATTGGTACTATAGTTTACCATTTCATTCTCATGGCAACTCTTATGCATATCTGCTGAACCTTCAGTATTCACTGAAGGATATTGAATATCAAACGGGTGAATTAACCCACATAAGGACCTCTAATCCATAGTAAGTGGTATGACTGATGTTCAAACTGAGGTCTGTCTGTTTGACAGACCCATGGGATATTTTGTTTCTTTGCTTTTTATTTTGCTGTATCACAGTGAATAAGTCAGAGTTTTACATTTTGCCTTATCTTAATTAAATAGCATTAAATAAATGACAATCTGAATAAAATAACACAATACTTTTTTAAAATAAGGAAAATATTTAGATGAGTGGAATAAACTACCTCTTATGTAAAATTTGGAGAGATCCAGATATGCCACAATACCTAGCAAAAATACTAATCTAAAAGAGAGAGAGGAAACAACATATTAATTATTTCTTTTATATTTTCTGACTTCCTTGTCATTAATTTAGCATGAACATTTCAAGTTATTCCTTCTGTTTTATATCTCTCTGGAATGAAAAAGATAATTTTAAAGTTGGATTATGAACCTTTGCAAAGCATTTAAAATAATTTAAGTATGCTGTTGAAGTCCTCGTATGAGTATTTATGCATGAAATATCTGGAAATAAATATCTAACAATAAATTCAGATCAGATATTTATTTTCTACCTTTGATAAATCACATTCTGTGAATTATTCATGTATCCCTATGTGTTTTATTATCTATCTATATAATATTATATGTAATTTGGCCCTATGAAGTAGTAGGAATTATTCTAAATCAACTGAAGAGGTTTAATAAGATAATCTATGGCACTTGTCTGCCAGTTTGAAATACTCAGTTTATTTCACAAAGACATTCAAACAACTAACACAGTGATTGCTTTACATCTCTAACAATCTTGTGTAAAATTGGGACCAGTGACCCTTACGTAGCCCAATTTGTATGATTCCTAGGTGAAGGTCCTTATTCCCTTTTAAGAAAAAGAAAAAGAACGAGAGAAAAGATAAGAAAAGAAAAGAAAGGCTAATTGAGAAAGGATAGATTCAATATGCTTTTGAGTGGCAATAATCATTGTAGTTTTAACTTGTAAGTATGAGCCCCACATAAGGGTGTTGTGGTGATGCTGAGGTGGGTGGTGGGGATGGGGAAAGGAATAATTCCCGCAAAGACAAGTGGGAGTATTTATACTGTTATCTTCTTGCAAATGCTATGGGATTTTTAAGAGAAAGTCAATAAATAAATGAATGCCTCATTCCCATAAATACATGGTAATTGTTCCAAGATTACCCTTAAGTGGCTAAGAGATAGCTAGCAATTAATGCTCCCTAAGGACTACCATATTGCATAAAAGATAATACTGACAAAGATAAAGATGCAGTATAGGTTTATACAGTCATGTTAGTAGATTATCCTGGGGTTCTGAGAAATAAATGCACTGACTCTCAGTTGCAAGTAATGCAAAATTATAGATCAAAATCTTCATCAGATTCTTTTATAAATTCTTAATATGCATAATTTTTATCTTACCTATAGGTTTTATTGCCGAGAGATACATATTATAAAGTTCTTGGAAACACTTTTGCTCTTTCATACTTGTGCATATAACTACTTTTATTATAAACTTCAAAGTTAAATGATTAAAAGCTGTATTATATAGAAAGTGTGTCAGATAAAAGTTGAACCTATTTGTTTGACACACATCACAATTTCATTAACCTATTAAGAAGCAACTGATATAGAGATTAATCCAGCTAAACCATTTGCTTAGCACATACATTTTCTCCAAGAAGCAAATAGAAGCCATCAGTTAGAGAACAGACTTGTAGCTATTAGTACCACGGATAGTAGCAGTTTGTAACAGGTGACGTATACACAAGTGTCATTAACTACATATCCAAAAGAGAAAGTGCTACCTTCTATAAAAAGATAAGAATTGTGGTTAAATGATAAACACAATGCAGTAACCACACTCTAGAAGATGGGGCCCTACAGTTTGAATTCATGATGATATGGAAGAACCAAAAGGAGAAATAATGAAGTACCTATCTCCCAGCTTAGGTAACAACTAAATGAAGGTATACTAACTACATCTCAAATAAATCATAAATCCAGTGAGGAATAATAGAAGTCAATCAGGATATCAAATAAATGTCCAAACATAAATTTATTTTATCATGGGACATTGCTAAGGACTCTAGAACAGCATAGAATCTATAACACAAAGTACTGGGCCTGCACAAACCATCTTTAAATATTCCGGAATATTAAGGGTTCCTTCCAAATAGTTTTGATGGGTGCACATGGACTCTAAGTCAGAGAGTATATTCAGGCCAGTCAAATAGACAATAAATACACAAGAACTGTTTCTCCAGTCCCAGAATTGCATTTTACTTGTCAAGTAATACATTCTCCAAGATTTCGACTATTACAGTTGCCACCAATATGATAGCTGCCTCTCCACCTGCTTGTATATTCTGCTACTTGACACAGGGTCTTGTGCAAGTTATTCAGTGTCTTTAAGCCTCAATATTTTCCTCTGCACAAAAGATTGAAAAGTTCAGATTGTACTACAAAACAAGAAATGTCACATCTAACCCTAACATGTTTGTATTTCATTCCTTTGCCAAAAGAAAGAGTCATGAGATGTTGGTAAGGAAAGTTTGTGCCAGTAATAACTTACCACCCCACCTCCAACTTTATTACAGTGTCAGGTTTGTATTGGTGATCAGGAAGAAACAAAAAGTGCCTTTAATAAAGTGTTTATCTTACAGTCTGTAAAGTAGAAAAGTATAGGTAAAATTTTGCTGTAAGCAAAATCAAGCTTTGGATATTTGGAATATATGTTGAAGGGAGTAAAACATTCTGTGAAACTGATTCTAATGAAAGGAATTAGACTTTTTTGTGAAATTCAGCTACTCAACTAGCTAAGGTAGGTTAAGAGTTTTGTTTTACTTTGTTTTGTTTTCCTAGGAACATTTACTGAGCACCACCAAGGTGTCAGACACTACTGCTTATTAAAACCTAGAGATAGAGAAAAAAAGGTCTCAGTGCTCTTGAGAAGCTCATTTGTTGGCTCCATTCCACTGGGAGCAACAAACAAGTAGGCCAGTATTTCCCAATATGGTGCGGCATGGGCTATTTTGGATACAATTATTCATTAACTTATTCATTATTTAATTCAGAAAATATTTATTGGGTGCCAACTCTTCTAATCACTGGTAA